CCTCCCAAGAAGACCCAGGGTTCTGGTTTTCATCTTGGACGAGTCCGAGGTTGAAAAAGTCAGGGGACTTCTTCAGCTCCAGAATACGGAACTGAAGACGCCGGACTGGCTTCTAATGAGCAGAAAAATTGAAAAGGGAGGGCAACTCCTAGCCTTTTCAATTGACGAAGCGTCGTACAGGGCCCTCGAGAGGTCACAATTCTGGGCCTATTATAAGCTAGGAAGGATGACCTTCACGGTCCTAAGGCGGCCTGGCCGGGATCAGGATAATCCAGATCAACCTCCAGCACTGTAAAGCTGCTTCGGCGGTACTTACAGTGGCAATGGGGAGGTTTGAAGTGGCCCTGGTACAAGAACCGTGGATTAGACACGGTACAATAAGAGGTTTACGAGGGTTGGGTGGAGAGTTAATATATGACAGATCCACAGACACCCCTCGAACCTGCATAATTGTCAAAAAAGGCATAAAAATACTGCCGTTAACTAATTTCTGTTCCAGAGATTTGACAGCAGTCAGAATCAAGATCGATGCAGGAAATGGACCGAAGGAGGTAATACTCGGATCGGCATATCTACCTTCAGACGATCCTAAAGCAACACCTACCAGAGAAGTGGAGGAGCTGGTGAGATTCTGCAGGCGCAACGGAATGCAGATGATCATTGGCTGTGATGCAAACGCACACCACAGGATCTGGGGGAGCACCGATACCAACGAAAGAGGTGAGTCTTTATGGCAAATAATTTAGACATAACAAATGTAGGCAATAAACCGACCTTTATAACAAAAAACAGAAAGGAGGTACTAGATGTAATAATAGCATCAACATACTTGAGTAATTCTGTTACAGACTGGCATGTGTCTGACGAAGAGAGTTTATCAGATCACAGACACATAAACTTCAATATTAAAGGTAATATTGCAAAAGAAACTTATCGGAATCCCAGGAAAACAGACTGGGAGGCATACAATGCTTCTCTGGAATGTAATCTTCCGAAGATGAGAAAGACGATAAGAACAACAACCGACCTAGAAATGGCTGTGGATGAGTCTAATGACACAGTCACTAGCGCTTTTAACGATACCTGTCCCTTAATAGCAAGGAACTCTACCAGGAAAGTTCCATGGTGGAATGATGACCTGGCTATACTAAGGAAACAGGTGAGAAAAAAATTTAATAAGGCTAAAATAACCGGCGAATGAGAACTATATAGAACCATACGCACCTGTTACAACATAGCTTTACGAAAAGTCAAGAGAGAGTCTTGGAGAAGGCACTGTGAGGAGATAGCAAGCACTCAAGAATGTGCCAGGCTCCAAAAAATTCTCTCAAAAGACACACAAAACACAATAAACACCCTTAAGAATTTACTTGGGGAGTACACAATCACAGGGAAGGAAACAGTAAGGGAACTCTTCAGGGTTAACTTCCCTGGTGCACAAACCATAGCACACACACCGGCTAACCAGAATCTAAACGGACTGGAAGCTCATGATAGAGCCAACAGGGAAGATTGGAGGATAGCCAAACAAGTGGTGAACTATGATAAACTGAAATGGGCAATTAGCTCATTCGAACCATATAAATCACCGGGCATGGACGGGATTTATCGAATAATGTTACAAAGAGGTCCTGATATTTTATACAGCAGACTCTGTAACATACTCAGAAGTAGCCTGGCCTTTGGACACATACCAAAAGCTTGGAGAAATATTAGGGTAACTTTTATACCAAAACCTGGGAAAATGGGACAGGAAACGGCAAAGTCCCTAAGACCAATAAGTCTTATGTCCTTCGTACTTAAAACTTTGGAAAAACTGCTAGATAGGCATATTAGAGACGGGATATTGGTTCAAAGGCCAATATACCAAGACCAATACGCCCATAGTGCAGGGAAATCAACTGAAGCAGCTCTCCATCAACTAATAAAAAGGGTGGAGAACACACTGGAAAACAAGGAGGTAATGCTGGGAGCATTCTTGGATATCGAGGGTATATTTGACAATACCTCCGTTGAATCGATCATTAGATCTCTCAAACACAGAGGAATCGAGGACACATGCGTGTCCTGGATAGACTCTATGTTAAGGGAGAGAACTATACACACAACCCTTATGGGAGAGACAACAGCGGCACGGGTAGCGAGAGGATGTCCACAGGGTGGAGTGCTGTTTCCACTCCTGTGGAACCTTGTAGTGGACGGGCTGCTTAGGGCTCTCAAAGATAAGGGACATAGAACCCTGGGATATGCCGATGATCTAGTGATCATGGCACAGGGAAAATACAACACTATAGTAAGAGATCGAATGCAAGAGGCTCTAAATATAGTAATAAAATGGACAGAGGCGGAAGGACTAAACATTAGCCCAAACAAATCTGACATAATTGCATTCACCCGCAGGAGGAAATTGTAGGGACTAGGGCCTCTAAACCTAAGAGGTGCAAGCATCCAGCTTAAGGGGGAGGTAAAATATCTCGGGGTTATGATTGACTTACCTGGAACCAGCATCTAGAAAGAACCACAAGGAGAGCGGAAACCTCATAAATGATGGCAAGGCGATCCTTTGGAAGAAAATGGGGGTTAAAACCAGACATGGTATACTGGCTTTATAACATGGTGGTGAGACCCATAATAACATACGCAGCTTTGGTGTGGTGGCCAAAGACAGCAAAGGAAAGCAATAACGAGGCTAAGCAAGGTACAAGGACTTGCCTGCCTCGGAATAACGGGGGCAATGAAAACAACCCCCACTGTTGCAATGGAAGCACTAATAGGACTCCCACCTCTTCACTATGTGATACAAGGGGAGGCAAGATTAGGTGCTTACAGATTAGGGAATACACTGGGAAATATTGACATTAGGCCAGGTCACATGAGTATCTCAAGGTTAGTGACAGGAGACGTGATAGACATGAGATCAGACCACATAACCAAGAGGTACTCTTTTAATACTCCCTTTGAGGTTTTAATACAGGAAAGAGCGGAGATCATCATAAGGGAGCCCAATGCCCAACGACAGGAACAAACCTGGTACACAGACGGGTCTAAGACTGCGGAAGGCACTGGGGCAGGAGTATTCTCCAAAAACCCTGATACTAACCATAGCTATGCTATAGGAATACATTACTCGGTATTTCAGGCCGAGGTATACGCAATTTTGCAATGTGCAAAGACGAACAATGAAAGAGCTGTCGAAAATCAGCATATTCAAATAATGTCAGACAGCCGAGCGGCACTTAAGGCCATATTGAGTCAGAAAGTTACATCGAGGCTGGTATGGGAATGCATCGAAGAACTAAGAACACTGGCAGACCGAAATAGAGTAAAACTATTTTGGGTGCCAGGTCACAAAGGGATCGAAGGCAACGAAAAGGCTGGCGAACTTGCAAAAAGAGGGCCAGAAGAAACACCGGAACCAGACACAAACCCAGGAGTACCAAAAAGTACAGTCCGGGGTTTTATAAATGACTGGATTCGGGAACAACATATCAACTATTGGGGAAGCACCCCAAAACAGGCACATGGAAAAGCCTTCATAGGCAGACCATGTCTCAAAAGAACTGGAGAACTACTCTTAATGAATAGGAACCAGCTGAAAGTGATAACAGGGTTCATGACTGGGCACGCCCCAGTAAAGGGACACTTGAACAAAATTGGCATGTACAATAGGGAACTCATGTGCCGACTATGTCACAAGAAACCAGAAACGGCCAAACATATACTGTGCGAATGCGAAGCTCTAGATCGAAAAAGACAGGCTCTTTTTGGACAACCCCAGGTTGATCCAACAACGTATAGAACCCTCTCACCCAAGGATCTGTACAAACTTGTACTGACAACATAATCATATTGTGTATTGTCAATTGTCATTATTCTTTGTTTATTAAAAAAAGGCCAAATACGTCATTGATTCATTTGATAGAAAAGAAGAAATTTGAGAATTAACATGAAAGTTGAACCTGTCAATTATTAACCATAAATATTAATGCTAATACTAATCATAAATCGAGTATAAATGTTTCCATTACATTGTGAAGGTTCAACTTAATCCTTAATCATAATTCTAATGCAAATACTAATAATAAGGAAGCATAAATTTGGTATAGACCCTTAAACAGGAGGGTTATTTATTTTAGAGAAATTTGTTTTGAGCATTTAATTTCAGTAAAAAAGTTTTTTATAATATACCGTCTAATTAATATAATCTTAAACTAACGTTCCAAAGAACCAATTCAGAGTTTATTAATTATTGTAAAAAATCCAAAATTTCCTGACAAATTGCAAGTGCCGCCAACGCTAAAATAACTTCAAAATTAAGAACCGGTCGAAAGAAGCCGCCCTACATAGTATGGGGCCAGAGATAAAATTTATACAATAATTGATCAAATCATTTTAGAATTTCTTGTACCTCAAATTTGAAAATAAAAGCTTGATACATCAGAAAATGTTGCATGTGACCCAAATAAATTTTTAGTAGTTGAATATATAATTATTTATTACTTATCTAAAAAACTTACTGCGATAATAAAGATAAATCAAATAATTTTTTCGCGTCCAGACGTATTTGCGCCTTGTCCCGTTACACCCTGATGGTCTTATAGGTATTTTTTATCGTCACTATATCAATATGAAAAAAAAAAAATGGGCTCCTAAAGCAATGGAGTATTTTAGAAATAATAATTGTTATAAGGGGGTGGGTTGGCTCAGTGGTTAGAGTCATGGCTTTGAGATCGGAAGGTCTCAGGTTCGAATCCCACCGTTGGCCGGGATTTTTTCATTTAATTTAATTATTTAAAATTAATTCTGATGCCTTGGTAGGATTCCCCACTCGACCATTCACTGTTGGGTTCTAATTAACAGTGCTGTTCCTAAAGTGGCGCTGGGAAACAGTAACAAAGCCTACACAGAACACGAGGCTAATGGCCGTAGTAGTCGACGCCGATGACACCAAATTAAAAAAAAAAAAAAAAAAAAAAAAAAAAATAATTGTTATACTTTACCTTTAATTGTATTATGTAGTTTCCATAAGATCCTTTAAGGTCTTTGGTTGCATATAAATGCGTCATCTTAATAGTTTCGCTTACTACGTAATCATCTTCATTTTGTAATTTAAACAATGATTTAATATTATTTCCTGAATGTTCATTTATTATACTTTCTATGTGAAAATCTATTGTTGCATTTTCAAGATAGTCTATGTCTGATGCCTGAATGTCTCCTACCTTAGCTCCCTAAATTTAAAAGAATATTAGTAATTAAATAAACTAACATTAGTAACAAGGAGATATACAAGATGTGGCTAGAAAAAAACCGTTTTTCTTTCACAATTTTAACATATACTTCTGCAACTAAAAATAACTTGTTGGTTAATAAGTCCTTGTGATATTGTCTTTTTTTCTGCCAGTTGCATGAAACTATGAACTTTCTTGCATTCCCTCCAAAAGTGGTACCAACAAAACTACAGTCGGCGTGATCTTTTCTTCTTCTGGGTGTATTGTATTAAGATGTAGTTGTTAAATCATTGTTTCTTGCACTCAATATTTGATGTACTTTTAATGGAATCAACCTCACTTATTTTTATAGCTTCGCATGTTATATGCTATATCTGCCAATTTGTTAATTTCCATTTTCTTTATGTGCTGCCAAAACAAGACGCATTTCAAGATAGTAAAGGTTGTAAATATAATTCCTTGAAAAGTGTCTTGTCTTCTATACCAGATTCTATGAGGTATTGCATATATCTTAAAATTTGAGGTTTACTGTCCCTGCATTTAGAGGTTGAAATACCCTTAAGATTTAAAATAATACGGGTGCAACGTAAGAATGATTATTAATGATATTTTCTTATTAATTATTTGGTACATAACATGGGATGGATGTCTAACTCATAAGTTTTAATTTTAAAAATAACTATAAATACCTTTCCTAGGTTCTCAAAAACTTCTAAATTCACAGATATTAATGTTGGTGCATGGTCATTTTTATCTAATAGTTTTATTGTGATTACTTTAGTAACACTATTTCGTCTGTCACCTAAAAAAAAATACATCAAAGTTCTTAACCACTATTTAGACTTTCAGTACGGATTAGGCGTTCCAACCAAAAGAACTACTGTTGGTGTTAAGGGTTGGTATATCTAAGGGATGATCTATTCTATCTAAAGTAGATAAGGGAAAATTGTGATATCATGATAATGTAACTGTTACACCCTACAGAGTCTTACAACTTTTATGAAAAAATCACGATATAATTGTTTCACCCTGTATTTTTTGTTTTTTGTTTTTTTTTGTTTTTTTTTGTTTTTTTTTTTGTTTTTTTTTTTTAGATATCAAGAAGAGGAAGGCGTATATGATTTTGAGAATTTTGTTGTAGGGGCTCCGTAAAGAAACGGAAGGGACCTGGCTAGAGCAAGGAGGACTTTTTTCCGAAATGTGTTTAGGGTTTTGTCAATTTGTCAAATATTTTACTTTTCAAAAAGGTTCCGTCGCCAAAAAAGTTTTTAACGTATTTGTTTTCAGTTTTATTATGAAAAAAATAAATGCTCTTGTAGGTGAAAATTAAATATGTTGTTCCCTTCTGGCATTTTTATTTCTATTTCTTTTCGTTAGAAAGACATCTTTTTAGATATTTTTCAAAAGAAACCGATAAAAATATTCAAAAAGTAGCTCCAGAAGAGCACGGGTTGAGCCTTTACCTGTACTTACATAATTTTTCATATAGTTAAAATAAAAAATATTCCGAAAAATTGGTGTACTATGAAACCCTTGCATATTATATATTATGTCGATCTTAGTACCTATTACAAAAATGATTTACGTAAAACAGTTGTACAAATCTGTAAAATTTATTTATCCCTCGTAAAACATCGGTAAAAATATTATAAATTATTTTCATTCACAAATATTAATTTCTTAAAAATCTAACAAAGGCGCCACTTTCCAGACGACAAATCTTGCAATGTAAGGGTTTTGTAGTACCCCCACTTTTAAAGTACATTTTTGACTACTTTTAAAAGAAAAAATATATTCGTGTAGGTAAAGGTTAAATCTATGCTCCTCTTGAACCACTTTTTCAAAATTCAATTTAGTTTTTTTTTATAAAAATTGAGAAAATGGGTAAAAAGTCGAGTTTTGTATTTTTTTTTTTTTCGAGAAAAAACAGATTCAAATTTTGAAAAAGTGTCTTCAGATAGGAAAGTAAAAACGCCATAATTATCGTAATCAATTTCTAGGTTTAGTTTTTACATATAATTAGTTTATTGTTTAGTAAGAAAACTTCGACGGTTGCATTTATAAGACGGACAGTCAGAAAAAAAATAATAGTTAACATATATTTGCTAAATGGATGCCTCATTATTAACAGGATATTTTTTTACTACATTATCAATTTGTAGATGGTCCTGTTCTTAGCGTTTTTGCGTTCCATACGGAAGACTGGAGTTCGAATCTCAGATATAGAAAAATAAAATGAAAATGTTTTCCTTTTTTTTTCTTGTTTACTTTATTTTATAAATTAGTAAGGTCATAAATTATTTTTAAATTAATTATATTATCTTAATAACCTAAAATAATTTTAATATTTGTATATTTTTGTTAGTGGGTCGCAGAAAAAATATACTGTACAACTCGAATAGATTGTTCATATCGCACTCGCCTATGGCGTCGTACTCAAATTTTGTCTTCGTGCGATATGGCCATCATATCCACTCTTGTTGCACAAACTACTATTGTCTGTTTTTCTTGTCCTTAAATGCATAAAATAGCGTTAGGACCACGAAACTCAAGGGTCTTTTTATCACTCGACGACTTTTTTTAAATATACAATTTCTATCTGATACTTATTATCAGGCGATTTGAAATCGGATACTATGTCTTGAATATGATTGACCACACTGATATAAATAAAAAAACAATGACGTCATATTGAATATTGTCTTGACATGGTCAAGTTTAACATGACTACAGTAAAAACGTGGTCATCACAGGTATGAAATGTCAAATTATTTGGTTGTGTTATTTGTAAAATCAGAAGAAAGGCTGAGTATAGGATTGCCCGATTTACGAAAGAGAAAAGTGGGATAACGGTGACGACAGGGGATCAGGTTAAAAAACAGGTATTTTTATAAAATATGCTTCTTTTTTTGCCAAAACTTGTTTCATCAAGTATGTATGACCATGTATTTCAACATTAAAATTTTATTTTTTTCGAAAACGGCCGACTTTAGAGCGTATGACTAAGAGTACCTTTTTTTGTGTAGAAAACATTGGCGGTTCAAATGGGCGTCTCAAAACCGTACTTTTTCCAGTGGTGTAGACATTTTTTTTCACTTTCAACACCCTGTATCTCGAAAATGGTACATTTTAGAGGGTAAGTTAATAGAAACGTTTTTTCATATTTTTGGACGAGCTATCACGTCCTGAAGTCCTGCGCATATATTATGAAACACCCTGTATAATACACAAACAAAAATTCACGATATCTGAAAATGTCATGCGCATTGTCAAGTTAGTGTCAATATATATAAACTAAACATTTTTAAACCAGAATAATAGAACGTCATTATAATGACGTAAGAACCTTGACCACATTTGACTTAGTCACATTTCTAGTAACTGATTTAAAATCGCCTATCTATTCTACGCACAGACCAGAGCGAAAAAGTATTCCATTGGCTACGTTCAGCAGAAAAAATCTGATTAGGATCTGTTTCAGATCAATTTGCAATAGGGGTGGGATTCCGTTTTGTGTCGAGTAACTCGATCTCGATACGATTCATAATTCGATCGAATTATGAAAAGCAATTCTATCTGTTTTGACTTCGGAAATCTTCGCCTCGGATTTGATATCAAACTCCATCATTGGAATTCCGTTCAACGAAATTCGACAATAAACTCGATAAAATAACTCGATAGCTCTAGAGTAGTCGATTCGATATCAAATCATTAAAGTTGAATTTTTTTGACATTAGTTATGAACCTTTCCTGCAGCAATGTGCCTTTTCTAAATAACCTCTCCTACATTAAGGGCCTTATTTTCTCTATTAGGTATATACGGGGTCATTATACTATTTCATAGGGACAGTATGTGTATCTGTAACGTGTGAAGAGTGGGTTAACTCATGGCACTTAAGCCTCACTAGGCCCATTGTGCAACCTCCCAATTAGATAGGTACCTACTAGCTCGTGAGCCAGGGACAGTATTGTTATTTCTTAAACGGTAACAAATAGAAAAATGGTTGAATTTGACAAAAGTTACGCAGTTTTGTGCTTATTAAAATGGTGCCAGAAAACATTTGATATCTACAAAGAAATTCAAAATATCTGACAATAAACGAATGAATGAATTTAAAGAAATTATAATTTTCATTTTTTGTCCGATATTTTAAATTTCCCTCTAGATATCAAAGGTTTCTTGGCACCATTTTAATAAGCACAAAACTGCGTAATTTTTCTCTAATTTAACCAACCTTCTATCTGTTAGCGTTTAAGAAATATTAAACCTGTCCCTATGAAATAGTAGGGACTCTGTATATTACTTGAAATATCAATAAGAGGATTTATTAATTACATAAAACGCTATAAAATATAAACTAATAAAGAAAGGTAATCTTTATTTAGGTCATTCTTTCTTTAGCACAAAGCACAAAGCACAATAATATTAAATAATAATATTTTTACAATTTACCCCATTACGAGTGATCCCTGCAACTCTGAAAGCATATAGCTGGTATCGGGGAGGGACAACCGTATTATTATTATTATTATTATTATTATTATTATTAATATTATTATTATTATTATTATTATTATTATTATTATTATTATTATTATTATTATTATTATTATTATTATTATTATTATTATTATTATTATTATTATTATTATTATTATTATTATTATTATTATTATTATTATTATTATTATTATTATTATTATTATTATTATTATTATTATTATTATTATTATTATTATTATTATTATTATTATTATTATTATTATTATTATTATTATTATTATTATTATTATTATTATTATTATTATTATTATTATTATTATTATTATTATTATTATTATTATTATTATTATTATTATTATTATTATTATTATTATTATTATTATTATTATTATTATTATTATTATTATTATTATTATTATTATTATTATTATTATTTTGTTTTGGTATCACTATCTCTAGGATAGGTGGGACAAATGCAAGATCGGCCATGGCAAGATTCTTGCATTTTAATTATATAGAAACGTTTAGGAATGTGCGTACAATAGAGGTAGTGGATAGTATCACTGCCTTTTGGATAATCGCTATTTTATTGGCAATTTCCAGCATCCTCAGATTGTTAGTGAGTGACTTTGGTACTACACCGGTGGAAGATATAATCAACGGGACTACAGACACACTCTCCTGGTGCCACATTTGTTGAATTTCCTGCCCAAGTCTCTGGTACTTTGCTTCCTTCTCAGCGTAGTAAGTCAAGATGTTGTGACCATTTGGGATTCCTATGTCAATTAACAAAACTCATTTTCTTGATTTATTAACGATGATGATGTCTGGCCTATTGTGGACTATAGTACGGTCTATTAATACCGACCTATCCCAGTACAACTTATGCGTAGAGTTTTCCAAGACAGGACTAGGCTCGTACTTGTAATATGGTATCTCTTCGCTCAGGAGGCCATGTAAGCAAGCCAAACTTTGATGGACAATCTTAGCTACCTGATTGTGTCTCGAGAGATATTCCCTTGGCACTAGTATTGGGCAAGTGCTTGTTATGTGTTGGATGGTCTCGGATTGTTGATGACATTTTCTGCACAAGTCATTTTCCACTTGAGCCCTTATTATGTACTTAAGGTAGTTTTTGGTGGCAATAACTTGGTCTTGGATCGCTATCATGAATCCCTCTGTCTCTGTAAATATGTCGGCTCGTCCTAACCATCCATTCGAGGCCTTAGAGTCGACATACGGTTGGCTGAGGAGGCTTGTATGATGACCATGTAGAGGTTTGGAAGTCCAGTCCTGTT